GCCAAACCGAATCCTGCCACTGTGTTTTTCTGGCCAGCCCTTGGGACTCATCAGTGCACTTCCACTTCCTGCCCCAGCACGGGGCCATTTTGTTTTGGTCCTTCAGTCATGCTCCTTCCCCTGCTTGTGTCCTCCAGCTGTTCTAATTACAAAGCCCTTTGGGACAGGGGACTGTTCTGACCCATTTCATACAGCATCAGGGACATCCCTGGCACTTTCCCAGCAACCAGCAGCAACTCTCTGCTGGGGCAAGGGAAACTTCAATGACTCTACTGCATAAGCACCTTACATGGGCCGCAGACAATACTGCTTTTTCACACAATTTGCCTGGAACATCTCTGACTAGACCATATTATGTTACAGCCAATGGCATCCTATTATAACAGTTGCCAGAGAGTAGAGCTGCAGAACTCATTGTGCCTTACAGCTACTGGATTACATAATGCCTCATATCAGATTAGACCCCAGGCTGTAATATTGCCAGCTGCACAGTAGCAGAGAGCATCCCAAGGTAATGAAAGGCAACAGAGTGAAATGCAAGCTAAGGCATCATTCAGCCCCCTTTTTTTTTTGTAGACCCAAGCCACATGATGATAAATTATTGCAGACGCTCCAATAGAGAGACTCCCTTCAAGTGCAAGAAGAAAAAGCAGAAAGTCCCAGCACAGATGTACCCTTCTCTTATTCAGACAGAATTGGATGTTATGGTGCTGGAGTCCTGGCTGCCTAAGGGGAAATGGAAACTATCATCTATGGTGCCGAAGCCACTGAGAGCAAAGGGAGAACACATGACAATTAAATGGTGAGTGCTGCTCAGCCTCAGGGCACAACTTCTCCACCTCTGGACCATGCAAGGAAGTACAGCATCAAAGCATACTAAATCCTGCCACTGAAGCCCCCTGGGAGTGTGTCCATCAGTTCTCTGGCTCAGGCAGCTACGCTTCCTCAGGGGTGTATCTCCCATCTCAGTACTGCTCCAGGTCTTAGAACAACAGCATTGTAGGCTCTCTTGCAGCTTACTGACTGGGGTGGGTATGCAGGACTTCCTTACGGTGCTCCCTTACACGGTCCAGCAGTGGTGCAGCTATGCCTTGCTGTAACCCTCAGGGGTTACACCAAGGGCCTTGGAACCAGGCTTCCTGGTGGCCTTGGTTCCTGGCTTGGCTCCTGACTCACCCTACACGTTCTGGGGGGTCACAATCTCCCTCTGCCTCCTTTTACTTTTTGGCTCCCTTGCTGGTGCAACTGGGGGGGTGGGGAGGGGGAAAGAGTGCTTTGGTTTATCGTTTTGCAGCCCCAGGGCACCCTGGAGATAACCCCTGCCTTTGTCCTTTGACCTGAAAATTAAGGTTATTGGGGAGGTTTGTACTGCCCATCCCTCAATAGGAATAACAGGGGAGGAGAGTCTCTTTTTCAGAGGCCCTTGACTTTGGCCTTGGGTCCAAGAAAAGCTGGATCTGCTGTCTAAGCATGTGGCAGGCTCCATCTCTTTGCTCTGGCCTGCTCTGAATGGGCAAGCAGAGCTGGGAGGTTCCTCTGTGGTAGATGGAAAAGCATCGTCCCATCATCGCTGATGTTATTCCAGGCTGGGTTACTATTGCAAGTGAGCTTAAGAAAGGCTGTTGGAAGAATCTGGCTACTGTTTGCTGGATACTTCGTCTTTATTTCAACTCCAAAGATTCCAGGCAAGATCAAGTGTGAAATATTTCAAGTAATCTCCTTCCCTTCTGCTTTAGGCTGGAGTCTGTAGTACAAGGTGAAGGAGATATTTACAGGCATCTGGAGATCCCTGTGCAACCCAGGCACCAGTCAAGGTAAATCACCAAAAGGGAGTGAGATTTCAGGGAGGGAAGCACCAAGTTCCATTGACCACCCATGAGACTGGAGCACTTAAACCCCTGGAGCTCCTTTGCAAATTCCTAGTCTAAACTGGTTGGGAGTTTGGTTTGGAGCATTCCCAAGGATGTGGACTCCAACTGCCTCTTCAGTACTGGTCTCTTTGGAGCAGACACAAGCTCATGAATTACCAGACCAGAACAGGCCCAACCTGCTGGTCCAACCTCCTGTCTCCTGCTGTGATCTATGCCAGCTACTTTGGAAGACAATTCTGGGCCCCGAACCCTGGTGCTCTCTGCAACACACACAGATAGGCAGGACACCAAGGCCATGGGTTTAAACTGCAGCAAAGGCAGATTTAGATGACATCTCAGGAAACCTTACTAGCTGTAAGAGCCATGGGAAGCTGCAAGAGAATAAGCTGCCTGGGAATTTGTGAAATCTTCTGTACTGGAGGTTTTCAAAGACAAGCTGGATGGGCACAGGTCTGTGGTGGTTTAGGAATGGCACATCCTGCATCCGTGCAGGCATTGAACTACTAGATGGCCCTGGAGGTCCCGTCCCAACCTATGATTCTGTTGTAGGGGTTCCCCCCCCAGGGAATCACCAATGGGATGGTCATTTGAATGTATCTGCATAGGCTTTTGCCATCACTAAATTCAACCCTTTGTAATTTTAGCCTGGATCTTAAATCTTAGAGACAGCATCTCCTGTACAGCGCGGTACCCATGAGCCTGTGAGAGGTGGTTCTGAGGAGCGCTGGTGAGACCACACACAAATGATCCCCAGTACTGGGGAAGTTTGGAACCAACGGTAAGAGTCAGGTCCATCGCTAACTAGCCCATTTGGTAGGTGAAGCGCTTTCCTGCAACCATGCTTGTGTTCTGCAAGGTAAATAATATATAATGAACCATACTCCAGAAATGTCCCAGTCACTCTACTGGAAGTAGGAAGACACCAGAGATCCCAAATATTGTCAACCCCTCAGTGGAAAAGATTTTGTCTTGGGAGAAACAGCTACACACACACCAAACCCTAAATCACATTCAGTCCTTTTTCAAAATATTTTATTAATAATCCATTAGTTAAGGAATATAAGGACAATATCTTCTTACACTTTAACACTAAAGAGTGTTCATGAAGAATAATCTCTGAAGAAAGAAAAGTTATAATTAAATACAGCATGGAACCAAATACAGACAAAATCTTTTAACAAGATCAAGTTCTGGTTATACTTGCTTATACAGCATGGAAAAAACCTATCTGAAATTTAATTGGAAAATATTAGCAAGGGAATTATGATAACAGAACTAGATGATAGATTTTTGCTGGACTAGACATCTCTTTTCTAACAAGTATACTGATTATAAAAGACGCAACAGCCCTTTGGAAAAGGACCTATTTCTAATTAGATCAAAAATATATATAGTGTTACATTAGAATGGTTGCTTTCTTGTATAGCACTCCTTCTGGGCTGACACCAGAATTATTAGCTATTTACTTAAAAAATTCACAAACCTAAAAGGTTACAGAGTATCTCAGAACTTTACTGTCTGTTAAGTAAGAAACCAGATGAACAAAAAGAAAAGCCAACAAGAAAATGTTAACTGAGTCATACCTTTCGCATAATAGGAAATTAAAAGATTTAAAAGTTGCGACTTTCATGGCAGCATGAAAAACATACAGTTGTGTAGCCAAATGAAGACACCCAGACAACAAACTTATGTTTGGGAGACAAATTTGACATTTTAACAATGTAAAAACAAAGTACACAGGTAAGAAACTGGACAGCAATAATCTTTAGTGTTACTGAGGAAAGGGAGGGGACAGAGGGGGAAGTTTCATGTTTGGTAGCACACATGAATTATGATGTGTGATTAAAGGTACCAACACTACTGAGCATCTCTGAGAAAGCTGCAAGAAAGCTACTCATCTCATGATAAAAAAAATATATGCACTGGTTGTTTCAGCTTTGTACACAGAATACACAGAATTTACCCACCTCGCTCTCTTTCTGGTCATTGAGACTGTAAAAACCCCACTAAGTGAAAAGCCAGGGAAAACAGCAAATAAATAAGGACACCTACCTAACCCAACCCTGAATGTAACCCACTGTGTGCACTAATGCAAATCACGTAAAAATGACTTCAGCACAGCACTGGCATCAGATCCTCAACTGATGTAATACAGCACAACCCTCTTGGCTTGCACGCCGACTGACGCCCACTGCAGCTTTGGCTCATTTGCTTGTAAGCTTCTCGCCAGGCCACACCTGCCGTCACTCCAACACTTTCGTGCTGTCCAACGCTGCAATAATTCTGTTTGGTGGAACAGGATCCAGGATCCAAAGGAAGGCTGGAGGCAAGGGGCCAACACACATAAGCCACATATGCTGTCTACCTAAGCAATAGTAACTAGATTAAAGAGGATCATTTGAGTTCTCAGCACATCTTCTCCAGGTATCTCAAAACATTGAGCTAAACCTCACAGTGCCCCGTGAGGTCTGTACAGAGGGAGACTCTGCATCTGGAGCCCAGCAAGGAAGTGGCTTTGATGAGGAGCAGAACCAAGAGTCCTGGAAACTAGTCCTACCATCCACTCACACAAATACACCCCCTGCCCAAATGAGAACTGAACCCTAGCAGCCATTCTTCACAGTATCTGTATGAGCCCACGCTTTGACCAGCAGCATCCATCAAAGCATGACACTCATCAGGTAAGATGCACCCAAATGTCATGGACCCATTGACAAGCCACCAAGGTTGTTCTCCTTGGATTGCATTTCCAATTGTAGGTAGATTTAACCCAGTGCCTGTTCCTGATGCTCAGCCCTGGGGGCATTTCTGGGTCACGGCAGTTGCAACCGGGTATTTGCAGAACGTGTGAAATGATCCTTTCATGGATTCTGCATATTTGGGCTAGGCAGAGAGACGGATCATCACAGCCATGGCCAATCTGGTCTCTTCCTTGCAAAGACACTGGAGAAACCTGAAATGCCTAATAGCCAGTAAGAAGGTAATGTGAAAGACAGAAAGGGCTGGATTTCAAGAAGTTTCCCTGCACCTCCTACCTTTCCATCCAACACAGGAGACAGCAAACTACCTCATACCAATTAAAGGCCCATTTAGTTTGGCATCACAACCCTACCTGCAGCCAGCATCAGAGGCCCAAAAAAACACCACTGAGACCAACTGGAATAACACACACCCAAGGATAGTTCTTCTTCAACCCACGAGGGAATGGCTGGTCTATGTTCCAGAACAAGAGGGTTTCTGTCTCTCGCAAACAATTTCAACCAATCTAATGTAATTGTGAGTTTTCCTTGTGGCTCACAGAAACATTCAATTATTTTTATTTTTAATCCCATAAATAAGCTCTTGGCCTCAGCACCATACAGCACCAAGTTCCACTGGCTGACTAACGCATCTTCTTCCATTTAAAATGTGTTGTCTTCCCATTTCCTTGCTCTCTGGACATTGTTAATGTATCTACCACACCCCTCCACATTCATCTCCTCCTTACAAGACAGTTGTGGCACTGGACATGCTCCAGTGTAACTGAGATAAGTAACACTTGCTGTCTGCATTACCCGGTTATACTTTTATACTTCACTAGTTTTTGTATTGGGAATACAAGTAAGGAGGACAACTCACTGGGTTATCAAAGGAAAGGGACAAGCTTCTACCCACCACCATGTGCCTGTTTCCTACATTTTAGTCTCATCTCTCCACAGCCGAGAGATTCTCCAGGCCCTGAATCATGTCCAGTGCCTTTCTCCAAACCTTATTTCCGCTAGCTCCTTTGAGCACAGCCTGTCCAAGAGGAGTGTGTATGATGCCCTCCTGCATTCCTGAAATCTTTCTTAGCCCCTTTCTTAATTAAAATGAACTTCTACTTTCCTTTTGTATCGCTGCTGCAGCACCCAGAGCATGTGTCCATTGCAGTGGCCACTCTAGCAGATGAATCTGTTTCTTGGGTGGTTCCGTAAGTGTGGGTACCGCTGAGGCTGTCACCATCTGTCTGGCAGGCATTATCACTAGCTGTACGTTAGTCACATGGACAAGAGACTTCAGTTGTACCTGCAAATATCTGCCCCTCTCAAAATGTGAGTATGTTCTTTCCTCCCACATAAATCAGGAAGCTGGCTGGCATCTCATTTGGATTCAGGCACAAACTGCATGCCTGTAAAAAGACAAGCATCAGGATTTGTTAGGCAATATCTTTTATTGGACCAACTCTATGACTGGGAAGGATGTTAGATAAGCATTTGGGAACAGAGCACCATTCCTCTGGTCTGGGAGAAAAGCAGAGCCAGGTAAAATAGAATACCAGGTAGAACCATTTTCATTTAAAACAAAACTCAGTGTTCTCCCTTGCTGTGTAGCTAAAGCTGTATCTGCCTCCTTCCCAGACATAAGGGTTCAGCATCTCTCCCAGCTATGCAGATGGTCTGGACTGTACACCAAATACATCTTGCTCCTTCGCATATTCCCTAGGCCATCATGGCTACTGCAGCCCCAGTTCTAAAAAGGGTCCTGTCCCCCAATTAGAAGTGCTATTTGTTCTCAAAAGGTCATTTTGCAGTCCAAGAGCAGCCCAACTCTGGCCTCACCATTCCAAGGTCGTAACGCTGGGCCTCGTGGTCTTGCAAAGAATGGCTTGCGCAGGAAGCCAGGGAAGCTCATGCTGCTTCATTTCAGGGTGAGCGAGGTTGGCTGCAATGTGTGTCACCCTTCATGCCACTTGGAAGAGGCTACACAAAGCTCCAAACCATGTGGGAAGAACAGCTGCGCATTGAGGGACCTGGAAAAGTTGAGTGTACACACAACGGGCTGGAGGAGGAAGAGATATCCTCACACTCAGTACTGCAAAGGGCATCCTGTCCACATCCTTTGGCCCACAGGGGCATTGGACAGGCCTTGCACGTTCCAAACAGCCACCAACTACCAGACAGAGCCTTCCCTGCTTGGCTATGGCAGGCCTGAGCGGACTGTCAGGGATCTGGGTCTTCCCCTTTATATGCACCAGATACTCCCAGAAACACTACTGTAAGTAACTTGCAGGAACTAAGGATACAGCAACTGCTGTGGAAAGAGAGAGGGCCGCTCATCCGACACCCTGCCAGAAGTCGAGGAGAGACCGAATCCTGAATCATTTACACCGCTGGGTAAACAGCGACCTTCAGAGAAGCTGCTTCCCACCAGCCACGGCCAGAGGCACCTCGGGCAAGAAAGTAATGAAGAATTCAAGGGACACATCTGGTCAAACTCAGATCCATGTACGGGGCCATACTCCTACTAGGAACAGCACCGTGTACTACAAGTAGGAAGTCACGGGGCCACTTAAAAATTCTTGTGCTGCTCGCTGCATCACTGGATTTAAATGACAGATAAGTCAAGACCAAGCCTCAGAGCAGCCCAAGGGTCTCCATAAGGATTTGGGGTAATTCTGATACAACAGGGGCTTTGGAGGGGGCAGGGGGAGAGGAAGGATGGGGTTTTTTTTTCACTTTTGATCTTATTCTGACAGAGAAATGCAGAGCATCTGCCAAGTGCCCTCAACACCCAAGAACTTCAACAGGAACTTCAGATCCTCAGCGCTTGTCGACATTTGGTCCCACTTAGGGTTTTTGTAGCTCCAACACAGGAGCACTCTGAGAACGGCTAGAGGCAGACCGATTCCTTCTCAACCGGTCAAACCAAGAGGGGTGCCCTAAGTAAACACACAGCACGAATAATGAGAAATAGGTGAGATAACATTACATCTGTCGGTGACAAAGCCAGGTGCCAGCTGGAAGAGAGGAGTATTATCTTCTTTTAAATTTAGCAGCATCCCTTTAAAACTCCATATGGGCTCAAATCCTCAAAACCAAGCAGTGGCTGTGGGAGTCCAGCTCCAGACACCCATGACACAGCCTGATTTTTCACAAGCTGGCGAAGTACCCACACTCTGGAAACAGCCTCCTTTTCAGGTGTCTCCAGCTGATCAGCAACACTGACGCTTCCCAAATCACTAGCTGCCTCTGAGAACACTGGACCTTCATCCTCTTTACTAGTACAAGCCCCTTAAAAACAAAACACTGTTAAACGTCCCCCCACCTTAAACGGTCTTTTTGTCACCATCTGCATGAAGCTTGCCACTCTACGGACAAACGCAACCGATGGGAAGGTGACGTGTAGCAACACATTAAAAGAAACAAAGAGTCGTGCCCTGGGGCACTACTCATTACAAAATATTCAACAACCAGTGCAAACACATTCTTTAGAAAAAGGCAGTATAAGCATAAGTTAAAAACTAAAATGGACTATAACAAAAGAGTAAATCGACTGCTTTTTTTTCCCAACAGACATGAGGTAGTTGTGTTGTTAAGGAGGAAAAAAAAAACAGAAAGAAAAAAAAGGGAGAAGTAGTAAAAATGCTACTCTATACCACACACTACTCCACTCTATAAAATTAAATAATATAAAGATGCTCCAAAGAAATAAAAATACACTGTCGTACATTAAAAGGAGAGATGTGTACCTAAAATATTAGGTACCAGAACCTATGTAAAACGAAGTCCAGGGTGGTGAAATGACCCAGATGCCGGAGAAGGTTCTATATAGTACAAGTTGTTAGAGGCACTCGTAGAGTGTGTAATAAAAGGCCACTACATCAGCCTGCTAGTAATAGTTACTGTGGTAGTGTACAAAGAGAGCCTTAAAATCATTTTAACCATGGGTGAGCAGAAAAGGCCAAGGGCTATGGCGAACTGAGTGTCAGTTTGCAGTCGTCTCCTCCCACTTTGGGCATTTAATTTTACCAAATCTAGCTGCAAAGCAGTTGGCAATGCCAGGGCCCTCCCTGATGGAGCCGCGTATTCGAGAAGACCTGCTCAGTGCGTTCCTGCTTCTTTCTGGCAACAGGGATGTCCTGTCAGTCCCCGTCACAAAATACATGGAAGTGGCTGCACAGGTTTAAGCAGGCATCATGATTTTGTGGCAGACCCACTCCCCACTTCCATAGATTGTGTGAAGCACTGAGCAGCCCTAGCTCCTAGCTGTGAGATGTGGGCACTCGCCACCTCGCCGTATTGACTCATCATCTCATCACCAATGCCTTGGAGTCGAGGACGATTGTCTTCCATGACTGCTTTATTGTGGGTCCAAAGACGGTTGATGAGGCTAATCCAGATCTTAGGATGGCTTTAAGGAAGTTTTTCCAACAAGTAAGTTTGCAACAAATATTGACTACCTTCATGGCGAGCAGAGGGCACCTGACACAAGAAAGCCCAGATGGACTATGGACAAACTTCTAGCTCTCCCATGAGCAAAATCAGATTAATTTCCTCTTAATGATTATGGACACACATCATGTTCTCAGATGCTGAGGATGAGTTGATGAAGCAAGAGATACTACACAGAGGCGCTTCCTGCTGGCCTGTAGAAAAACCTTGGCACTTGACTGGCTCTGCGCTCTCTCTGTCTTGTGCAGAGTTCGAGTCCCTGCCTTCCACAGGATCCAAGCCATCCTGGGGCCTGTGGAAGCCATTGGTGAGCCTGTGAGCGCAGGCCGGCTCTACCTTGTTAGTCTGCCTCCTGTCAGTACCTAACAGCACATCCGGGGGCTGAAGCTCAGACGGGCCCTCAGGGTCCCCCAGTGCCTTGCTGACATCCTGCAGGGTGGTGGCGTGCGTGTGAAGGGTCTGGTCCTCGGAGGGGAAGTGTTCTGGGTCGTGGTCCTCACGCTCCACCTCATCAACGTCCGGGAGCTGCACGCTGTAGTCTTTGTCAGAGGCTGAGAAATCCGAGTGGACGATAACCTCGGCTTCCACCTGATGGTGGCTGATGGGAGGGTGGCTTTTCTTCACTTCACTCTGCAGGTGAACAGAAAGCAAAAGGGCCAAGTGACTTGCTGCACACCACACAGACCCCCCAGCCAGCTCCCCACCCACCTAGGCCTATCCTTAGCGTTAAGCATCAACGTCACTCCACTGATGTCATGTCATGCCTGCTTTAGGTTAAGCCTATCTTTACGCACTTCCCCAGATCAGAGTCTTGCACCTTGTTTGGGCTGAGACGGGAGCCACAGCCAAAGCAGGGGAAACACAAGATGGTTTTATGGCATAATGACTTGATACCTCTCAAAAACCAGACCAAATGTAGGCAGCTTCCATGCTGCTCCTTCCAGCTCTGAAGTCGAGGGGGCTCTTTTAGCCCAACCAGAGCTAAGACGACACCACCTGAGTTTAATTGCATTTTCCATCAGCTCTCAGTAATTGACGCTGGAAATAAAGTGTGCAGCTTGCAGACAGAGCTCATTGTACACCCAAAGCTAAATACGTTATTTAAAAAAATAAACATCAGGTCATGGCATTTATAAAGACAAACAGTCCAACAAAAGCCTATTCAAATCGGTCGCCCAGAGCATTTCCGGGCATTCGTCCACATGGCTTTAGATGTTTGTGATCCCACCAATGATTGTGGGAGATGAAAATACCCTGGGCTCGGCTCTCAGTGAGTGAGCGAGGTGGGAAGAGTCTTCCCAAGGCTTCACACTATGCCAAGTATTAGCATTAAATTCATCTCCCTGGTTTGAGCGGCTGATTCCCCCCAACAGTTCTCTCTGCATAATGGGAGCACTGTCCTCAGCAGAAACCCCCACAGCGAACAGCAGGACTGTGCAAAACACCATCGTTTCGTTTCAACGTCCGTTTCGCCGTTTTGAAGGGACAGTGTTTCATTTCAGCATTTTGTTTCATTTCAAAGCACCGTTCTGTTCCGTCAAACCTGTGTTTCACCCATAGCCTATAATGGGGAATCATGAAAATGCCTAAAACTTTGCCTGATTCAGGTGAGAATTCCAGGGATGGTAGCCCCTTCTGAGGGCATGAAGCCTGCCAAGTTTCAAAGAGACAGGCGCAGAGGTTTCTAGGAAACTGCACCTCAAACTTTTCAAACAAAACTCGTGACATTTGCTGGCAGTGGCAGCCTCCTGTCATCTGGCGCACAGATCTGGGGGCCTGCACTCCCAGGAGGGCTGCAGGGCTATGCTGGACTCCTCCCGGAGGTGCAGGCCCCTAGATCTGTGCCAGATGACAGGAAACTGCTGCCTGGAACTGGCGCTGGGCGCAGGCTGTGCCCAGCACCGGGGAAGATTCCTGCTGCCGCTGGCCCAAGGCAGCAGAGGCAGCCTCCTGTCATCCGGTGCGCAGATCTGGGGGCCTGCACCTCTGGGAGGAATCTGGCAGTGCTGGGAGGACAGATTGAGCTCTGTGGGGCTGGCAGAGCTGGTCGGAGCACAGCCCTGTCTCTCCCTGCCTCCCGCCACCGGGCTGTGCTCTGCAACCCTGGCTCTGCCCACCTCCTGCTGCCAGGCTGAGCTCCGTGGGCTGCGGAGCCGGTTGGAGTGCAGCCCAGTGGCAGGAGGCAGGGAGAGCCAGGGCTGCGTTCTGACCAGCTCCACCTGCCCCACAGAGCTCAGCCTGGCAGCGAGAGGCGGGGAGAGCCAGGGCTGTGCGCCACCTCCCACCACCAAGCTGAGCTCCACAGGGCTGCGAACCCGCCCGGGGCACAGCCCTGGCTCTCCCCTGCCTCCCCCCACTGGGCTGCTTCGAAACATTTCGAGTGCCCTCATTTCATTTCAAAGCTGTTTCGAAGCTTTTTGTTTCGTTTCGATTTTGCTGTTTTGAGCTCGAAATGCGATAAACCAGCTTTGAAACAAAATACCCGGCGAAATTTTGCACAGCTCTAGTGAACAAGGCAGCAGGACCACATTTGCAGGATGACCTCCCATCACAGGACCTCAAAAGTCTCAACAGATGTATTCTGAAGCAAAGAGCCCCATTTCACAGATGGAAAAACAGACCCAGAGATGGGAAGGGACAGGCCATTACGACACAGCGAGCCTGTGGAACAGAACCCCTAAATCAACCTTAAGCGGCAGATGCCAGGCTCCCTGGCCCACACAAATCCAACTGCACTTACAGAAAGGAAACCAATCTCCCTGAAAAAAAATTCAGAACGCAATTCTATTCAAAGGAGCTAAATTGCTCCCACATCCAGTTTTGGCTACTTCCATTATTTTTTTAAACTGTTTTATTTAAAAACATTCTGAAAACATTTTAAAAAGTTACCAGAAAAGTTACTGAAAATTTTCATTTACTCAAAAATCTGCATTAAAATATTCTACGGTTATTTGATGCTTTTTTTGTGATGTTTTCAATGGGGCTTGTCCAAAATGGTGAGAGAGAAAGTGAATGCGGCCTGCCCTCCCACCACTGTTTCCATAACCCACCTCTTCCTCCCATGTTTCACTTCTGCGCAAAGGCCATTTGTGGATTAAGCCTCTCTCAAAATAACAAGGTCAAGCAAGTCTCCAAGACCCTGTCTGCTTCACAACTCTAAGGTGTGGTAAGCTAGATACAGCAGAGCTGGGTCCACAAGCCCCTGGGGCAATCCGCTCAGCATGGCTAAGTGACCATAGCAGTTAGCCTGCCCCATGCTTATTAGCCATCTGCTTTCACCCTAGCTTATGACCAGGGGTCCTGGGTTTCTCTGTTGAAAACTTGCAAAATCTCTTTTTTTTTAAAAAACCCACAAATCCAGGTTTTTCTGTGATTAAAATGAAATGCCACAATCTGTATAGGTATCAGGTGAACACAATATTTTACTGATATATTCACCATTTTAAAGCAATTTGGAAGCCTACCAGTGCCTCAATCACTATACTAAATTCTAAATACCTATAAATTTTGGCGTTTGTTTTTTTTTAATCATGGAAAATCAGAGCTCTCCCTGCCCCTTCACTCACTAGGATGCAGGTCCAGCTGCCCCCTGCCCCACACACTGCACTATGGTGCTGAGCAGCCCTGATATGCTAGGCACTGCCCCTGCCCCTCACTCCCAGCCCACAGCCCCCTGGCCCTGCTGGTGCCCCCACAGCCCCCCTCACCAAACTGCTGCCCCCTGCCCTAAGCCCCGCAATGTAAAGGGAAGGGGGAGGGTATGGGCACAGGTGATGGGGTGGGGAAGACCACAGGCGATGCACTGGGGGGCAGTAGGGGCACGTGCTTCCCCAGTTTTCTGTACCCACAGTGGGGCACAGGGCTGCAGCCAGGCCAAACCAGTTCCAGGCAGGAGCCGCTTCTGCAGCCCAGTGGGCAGGATCTACCTCCAACCCAGAGCTGGTCTGGCCCGGCTGCAGCCCTGTGCCCTGCTGTGGGTGCAGAAATCTGGGGAGGCATATGCCCCCTGCACCTCCCTGATGTGTTGCCTGTGCAATGGGGCGGGGCAGGGGGCATAGACTTACCTGGAGGAAACTGCGGGAGCTGCTCTCCACTGCTGCCTGGCCGCCACATGAATGTGTGCATGTTCACACATGCACATGTCCCCCTGCGTCCTGCTCCCCCCAGCCCCGAACAGCCCCTTGCAGGCTGGAAGGCTGCCAGCTTGCAAGGGGAAACCCATGGTTTCCCCTGGTTTTCTCCTTTAAAGGAGAAAATCCACGTTTTTCCGCAGCAAACTGAAAACCCGGATCCCTGCTTATGACCTGCAAAATACACTGAGTGGAAAAGAGCAGAATAATTTTGCACTTGCAGCATCTAACCAACGTCCAGGGGTATTTGAGTCCTCTGCAATTTGCATGTGGGAGTTCTCATGTCAGATTCACACAGTCTTCAGGACAGTCAGCTTTCCCATCTTTCAAATGCCAAATGCATTCACTGGTGAACAGCTTCACTTACAACAGGGGTGGCCTGTGTAAGGCACGGACATGGGCAACTAGCATCTCCCGAGCCTGAGGGGGCACCACATAGCTGACGGACGTGGGAGGGTGTCCCCCACTGGCCGATAGCCAAGCCCGAAACCACCGCCAGCAAAACTGGAAGCGCACTTCTGCTGGCACTTCCAGTTTCACAGCTGGCATTTCCAGGGGTTACACAGCTAATCTCAGGGGGTGCACTCGCACCCGCATGCACCCTGTATGTGTCGCCAATGCACGCAGAAGTCACAAGTAGCATAAGTAGCCTATGTGTGTGGCACGTGGCAGACTGGGGAGGGGACAGGCAGCACAGCAGCAGATCAGAGAGGAAGCAGAAAGCAAAGCGGCAGATCAGGCACGGAAAGGGGCCTGAAGTGGCACTTGGGAGGAAGTGGGGCTAATTTGCGGCACACCTGCCAGACAGACTGGCCTGTACAGAAAGGGAACAAAATGAGGACGTGAAACACTACGCATAACCCTTGTGCGGAGGCCAACTTTGTGCATCATTTACATATTATAACACTTCTCCCCCTCTGTTGACAAACTCTGATGGTTGGCTAAGCTGCGATGTAAATGGCTCTCTGTAATTGGGTTGTAAAACATTGTCTTAACTCTTTACACAACATTAATTACATCCTGTGTATAATTGATTTTCGCACTGCTATCTAGGAAGGAAACAGGTTACTTAGAGGTACTTGTTAGAGGAGAGAGAAAACAAAATCTTAAAGCAATAATCAAGCAAATCTCTTGGTAGATAGACTTGATTTGAGCTCATAACGAAGTGCTTCAATGAAGAATCTACTTAGAAATTGTTAGTGCGGCAAATGCAGTGTCAAACACGAGGATAAATAATTATTGCAAGAAAGCATTAAAAACTTGGATTTTATTCTGATCCATCTTCCAAAGATAAAGGAAGCAAATGCAATGGAAACTGCTTCATGGGGAAAGAGGCTTAAGTCAACCCTCAATCTTTTGTTCTTTTCATAGGCAAAACTGCAGTTCTTTCCACAGTAGTATAAGAGTGACGTTGTAGATGCAATGGTCCAGAAATGATGAGAGCGCCAAGAATTTCTTAGGGTGTTATCTTGTATCGGACCAACCATGTAGCTGGGATTAAGGCAGACACGGTTTCGAATGCAAGGCATTCTTCCTCAGGTCTCCGCTCACAGGAAGCCAGGCAGCACACAGACAGGGACACCGCAGGTTTGCATAAAGCAGGCCATGAAGTGGCTGCACTGCCATGGCGAAGCCAGGGGGATTCTAGGATCTCCCCAGACAGCAGCTTCTCCATCTGATAAACGAGCTAGGGTCAGAAGGACACCGTCCACGATCCAAGATCTCAAGGATCAGGGAAAGGAAGACGGGGAATACAGGAGTCACTGGGGGGAACAGAACTCCTGGAAAATAAAACAGCTTTTACGAACAGCTGGCAACTGCACATGACCATGTCAGACTTGGGCAACAGAATAAAAACTCAAACTGAGAAAAACTTGATAGGGCAAATATTTTCTCTCCTGCTGTACACGAGAAATGAGGAACAGACGCACAAAGACAAGCTACAAAACCCCCGCCCGCAGCTCAAACATTGAAGACACCCACCGTAACAGCACTGTAAACCAGGGCTTGTAACAAAAGCCTCTGTCCTGCATTAGCTGGAGGCTTCAATGATCCATTCGCAGCAAAAGGAGGCTCTGGTGTCACATCTCCGTACCTGGCCAGGCTATTTGTCCAGGTCTGATTAACTGGTTTAGTCCATGATGACTGCAGGGAAAAAAGGAAAGAAGTGATCAGGACACCCATTCCCACCTCAGAAACCTGAAAGAGCAGGCAGCCGAACAGCAAAAAAACACTGACGTGTATAAAGTTCTACGTCAAACTGAGCCCTGGCCCTTGATGCTGTAATAAGATGCTAGCTGCGAAAACTCGTCTGACCCTCCGACACATCGGAGTATAGTAGACTGATTTTTTATATTGTGATGCAGAACAACCAGCTGACGAGGATTTTCCCAGATCTGCTCTTCCCACAGTACACAGTGATGCAGCTTTGGTCCAAAGCTAACGCAGAGGTTTTTCTGTTGACTGAAGAACGTTAAAGCCAACAAGTGTATAGTTTGGCACCACACTGCAGGTATCTTCTGTTTTAAGGCTTGGTTCAAAGCCTGCTCTAGTCTGTGAAAACACTCTCTTTGATTTTCATGAGATTAGGCCTTAATACATCTGCATCTCATGACAGGGTCAGCAGGAGCAGGAACAATACCCTAGCCCTACGTAGCTCTCATCACCTAGGGACCTCACAGCACTTTACAAAGGGGCATAAGGATGATTGCCCCCCGTTACAGATACTGAAAATCAAGTGCAGAGATGATAAATGTCTTGCCTTACATATCAAGCAAAGCCAGGATGAGACCCCAGCTGCTCTGACTTCCAATGCAATGCACCACTCTGCCTCTCCATGAACCCTATGTGATGGCTCACACTCTTACTCTTGTGCAAGTTACTGGAATGGCTCTCACCCACAAAGTCCATAGGCCACGGGAGTGCGCACGCGTGCATGTATGTATGTGTGCGTTCTCATACGTACATTAATAAAAGTTATGACCTAAAATATCCCATCCTTTATGCTGTTTAAGTCAGTTATGAAGCTCCTCTTAGGAAAACTGGCAGTAGTAAAAGCAGGCAAGACAGTCTGGACTGACGGCACCCTCTGTAACTCTTGTGAATAGCGTGGTACCTAATTTCAAAAACCAATCTGTATGTCACAGTGCTGACCTCCTTACAAAGGGGCTGGATAGTGGGGGCAGAGAACTGGTCAGGCAGGGATAAGCCTCAGCCTGTGCTTACTGACTTAGCTTATCTGCTTATCACATTAGGGCACCCTTCAAAGGACCTGGTGGTACCCCAGGCTGAGAATGACGGGTCGAAGCCAACCAGAAGGCACGGATGCTGCATGGTACTGACTCGCTGTGGTACCCACAGAGCCCTGGCACCTCAGCACTCATCACACACGTGCCCACAACAGATACAGTTGCTGCAACTTCTCGTTTCATCCAGTTAACAGGAAAAAAAACCCAACGGTGTCTCAAAAGCATCTCAGCATCGGACCTCGCAGTAAGACGAGCACAGCTTGAGATGCCTCCTCAAGATCTGTCTGTCTTAAGCACCTTTGACTTCTGGAATTACTGTGCTCAAAATGCAGTTACCAGCTGACAACAGAGCAGTGACGTCACTCTCATTTATCCTCTAGCTGCCTCAGCAATTACACACACTTACCTGCCCTGCCCCAACGACTGCTTTCACAGTTTGCCTTGTATTATAATAGCGATCATTAGCCATCTTGACACCTCGCTGTAATACTTCTGTGACGGACGGGTCTGGGATGAGCCTTGCTGAGTTTTATAGCAGACTGCAAAGATGTACCGGCTGTTGTCAGCGCCCGGCAGAATATGAAACAAGTGACAAATAATCAATAGAGTCCCTACTTTGATGGCATGTTTAAATGGAAATAAAAATGTGTCGTTTCCACTAAAATTTTCATTGAAAATGTTCGTGGGCTTTTGTCAGAAAGTGAAAAAATAAATCTTTTGGGGGCAACTAAAAGTAGAAAACGTTTTTGAGTTTAAACTTTTCTGACCCACCAATTTTTAATGTGAAAAAGCCCAGATTTGTCCAAAAGCTCATGGGGGGGGGCCCTTAAAAGAGCTAAAACCAAACATTTTGGAGTAATTCTACTGCTGAGGGCTGAGACGATGCAGAGCGACAGAGGCCAACAGAGCGCCAAAACAAGGAGTGGGGGAGTCGCCCGATGGCACCGGCAGGGCTGAGGATGGTTCTGAAAACCCCGAGGGAAGGTCGCCAGGAAGCTGCGCTGGACACGGAGGCCAGGCGGGGAAAAGGCAGCAAGGGAGCAGGCTAGGAGTGTCCCTTGGGTTGGAGGGAGAGGTTGGGAGGGGAGGTAAGACCGTATTGGGGTCTAGGTGCAGGCAAGAGCTGACTTGCACAGCTGCACTCCACAGGGAGAAAGAGAACGCGGGCGGACTTTTAATTTCTTTGGCCGAATGATAAACTCCCTGATGGGGAAAGCTGCCAGGCCAGGAGGAGACCAGGAAGTTTCGATCCCACTGACCATCACGCTGGTGGCAGAAACCAAGAGCCTGGGGGAAAGTGCCGGGGATTGCTCAGCAACGTCTGGCGGGTTTTGCTTTGGTTCGTGGCCCGATCTGCACTGAGCAGCAAGGCCGGCACCTCGGGACACTGTCAAGGCCTGTTCCAGCTGGGGCTGGAAGACCGCTCGCTTGGCACGCTGTGAATGGATTTCCTGCCTGAAGCTAGGGCCTGGGTAAACAAATCTGGAAGCCCCCTCAATACAGGGGCACCACTTTTCTTTTTTGTAGCAGACCACCAAGCTATTCTTTGCTCTGCTTCGAGTCCCCTGGGCAACCAGTGTTACCTTGTTTGTAGATCTAATTAAATTATATGGGCTGAACGCAATTTGTTCTGGGTTCTCTCAGCTTCCCCTTGCAATAAACTGTTGAATGCACACCTCTGTGCATGGGGAAAGTGGCCCTTTAAGAGCTGAAGTTATTTAACAGCTCAGACTATTAGTTCATGGACAAAAAGTATTTTCTTTACAGACCCTGGTTTTACTGGGCTACTTTGTGTTTATGTGGGCTCACCTTGCTACCAAGAGTTCAGGGTGGATGCAGCAACTCCACTTTCTCCCTTGGATTTTGTTCCTTTGGGGAGCTATTTGCTCCACAAACATTATCGGCTCCCAGAGGAGGAAGGCAGGGGGTGCGAGAGGGCTGCAAAGAGGCCATTTAAAAATGGAAGGCAATCTCTCTGTATACAGACAGGGATGTGTGGCCTGATCACGTACATTGTAATGCCCAGCAAGCAGACCACAGAGGCAGTTTATAGTGATGACAGCAAGGAACCGCTGGAGGTCAAGGTGACCCTGAGTGAGTCATCTGAGCCCCTTGTGCCTCAGTCCATCTGGCTGGGAACAAGGTGTTCTGATGTAAGCCCTTTACAAAGCACCAGTGTCACAGTGGGACGCCAGTGCCAGCAAAGGGCTGGTTAAAATAAAATGCTCATGTACCTGCTGCGGGCCCGAGACCGCACGGCGCTGAACACCCCGTCCGCTATGACTTCAACAAGCTGCTGACTGTGCTTAGCAGGTGGCAGGATCAGACTAATTCCTAGAACCAAAGCCTGCACCCAGGAAAGGTCAGCCATGGCTACAGGGCACACCCCGAGACACCAGACAGTAAAGCCATCCTTTATGCAACTCTTCTTAGGAAAACATGCCACCTGAAGCTGCAGACCCTTGCCTGTGTCTGCAATAACAAAACTAACCCCAACTCCTGAGAAACCAGACAGGTGATGGCATGGAGCAGGGAAGAACGAGCCATGTTAAGGAAGATTACTAAATGAGAGCATGTTTGTCATGCATTTAGTACAATTATTTGCTCCTACTGCTCACTGGTTCTCTGCAGATAGGCCAGGGACCAACAGATTGTGACCCTCCGCTAAAGAACGTACAAGCACTAAACAAAAAGCACTGGAGCAGGTCACCCAGAGCGGTGGTGGAGTCTCCATCCTTGGAGGTTTATAAGACCCAGCTCAACAAAGTCCTGACTGGGATGATATAGCTGGGGCTGGTCCTTCTTTGAGCAGGGGGTTGGAGTGGATGTGACCTCCTGAGCTCCCTTCCAGCCCTCATCGTCTGTGATTCTAAATAAAGCCTGGAAGTTTCAGACTTGAAGGTGTAGGCACATGCATAACACACGTGTCCTCTTCTAAATACCTGAGCACATTATCACACACCATGCACATGCAATTATAGCACACATGCTGTTATAGATACCTAAACCCATATTGCACAGACACACATACACAAAACACACACAACAGACCTCTACACACACACTATTACAGGATACCCAAACACACACACACACACACACACGCGCGCGCGCGCTATGATGGGTACAGGGTACACACACCCCCCTTTGTGGATTTGCAAACTTTCTTGCAAGTTTCTAGTGAAAACCAAACACGTAGCAAGAAAGAGCAAGGCCAGAGCGGTCCCCAGAGGCGCAGCTGCCAGCGGAAATGTCAATCTGCCGTGTTTACATAGGTTCTGACGACTTGGGGAACAGCCTGTCCAGCTCTGGCTGAAATTAGCTGTGATGAAGAACAAACTTGTTTTGTGCCAGCTTGCTACTTTCCACAAACACAAAGCCCCCGGGCCTCAGGAGGCAACATTATCCCGCAGGCTCCCAAAGCAGGTTACGCGCGAGAAAGAATTCCCTCGCCCGGAATTCAGGCCTCCGAGGTCCAGCACTTATGATCAGCTCCAGGTCTGGTTTTTAAAGCCTGGATTGAGAAGGCAGGGGGAGGGGTAGAGGGAAATGGTTTCTGAGCCATTGCAGTTAACTCCGGAGGATGGGGCCAGCTTAAAATTTAATGTATAGGGAGGAAAAAAGAGTCCCTGGGTAAAAAACTGCCCACTGCAAACAGGAATGACAGCTAATACAATCATCTTCCAATCAAGGGTGCTGGAGCTACAGCAAATCTCTTATCAAAGGAAACAGATTGCGTCATTTTTGCCTCCGCAGGACCAGCAACAACGAATGGCAAGAGCAATCCTAGCTCCTGCCACTTTTGCAGCTACAAGCAGCAATTTCCTGCAAGTGGCTGAGCTGGGGTCCGCGTCCACACGCGGGTATGAGTGTCCCAGCAGAAGGTGCCAGGAGCGC